AGACAGAGCTCACAAAATGATGGGAACGTGTCAAAAAGGCACACGGAAGCAGCCTGAAGCAGTTGCCACTGGTCAGACCTGAGACCATCTGAGAGTCAAAATAAAGAGTGACGGTAACAGACGAGAATCTGTGGAAGAGGATAGGAAGCCACAATCCACAGTGGTAGACGAAAAGAGGAAGAGAAGAGGGAGGAAGGGAGGGAGGGAGGGAGGACTGATCCTGTCACTGTCTCAAAGCACCTTCTCAAGAATATTCGTGACCTACAAGGGGGATTGGAGGGCCTTCGTGGCGCAGCCGTCCGGCAAACAGCGCCGGTGTCAAGCGATTACAGCCAACACCCCCAGCAAGGGGACGCTTGGAAACCACGTGCCACCTGCTAGACAGGATGCCAGGAGAAGGCAACGGTGTGCTCACTCCACCCGCTCCGGGTGCAAAGCCCGAATCCAACGCGAGGAAACGGCAGATGAACCCAAAGGGAGGGACATTCTGCAACGAAAGGGGCCTGTCGCCTTCAAAGGCATCCAGGTCCGGAAAATCAAGGTGAGGCGGAGGGGCCGTCCCAGCCCCCAGGTGGACCATTTGCTGAAATGGGCATTTGTGGAGACACGCGTTGAAGCTCGAGTGGATTCCAAGGCGGCACCATCCCCACTGTTTTCCGGGTTCAGGTGGCTGCTCTGTGGCTGAAGAGGGGACCTTCTTCTGTAGGAAACATGTGAGGGTGCAGGGCACCAACTTACTCTCGAGTTCACACTTAAAACGAAACCTGGGGCTTCCCTGGGGGCGCGGTGGTTAAGAATCCGCCTGCCAGTGCAGGGGACACGGGTTTGAGCCCTAGTCCGGGAAGATCCCACATGCCGCGGAGCAACTAAGCCCGTGAGCCACAACTACTGAGCCTGTGCTCTAGAGCCCGTGTGCCACAACTACTGAAGCCCGAGTGCCTGGAGCCTGTGCTCCGTAACGAGAGAAGCCACCACAATGAACAGCCCTCGACAACTAGAGAAAGCCTGCGCACAGCCACGGAAGACTCAAAGCAGCCAATAAATAAATAAATAAATAAAATCTAAAAAAAAAAAAACCAAAAACAAAACCTGACTTGAAAAGGCGTCCTAGTTTCCGCTGGAATCGGCCTCCGTGTCCCTGCTCCCCGGCAGCCCAGGTATCACACCCCTTGGCCTCGGGAACCGCGTCCCCCTGCCTGCACTTGGGAGCTCTCAGGACACTTAAAGGCCACTTCCTCATCCGCAGGCACCTCAACAACCTGTTGTGTGTCCTGCTCACCTGAAAGCATCTCAGAGCAGGGACTGGGCCCTTGCCTGGCAGCGCAGGGGCTCGCAATTATTCCTCGAAGGAAGGACCGGAATGACACAGCAGCAAAGGGGCGCCCGGCTCGGCAGGACCCGGAGACCCCTTGGGAGGGCTCACACCGGTCCGGAGGGGGAGGGATTCACCGTCCTGGGTTCAGGACAGTGAGCTACGAGCGTGGCTCCGAGGGACGCTTGTTTACTAAAGCAAAGTGTGCAAAACGCAGGGTTAGAGGTACATACCCGGTTCACGGGTGGGGGGCAGGTCAAGGGCCAGGCTCGCAACGCTTCATGATGGGAGAAGAGTGAAATCAGAGGAGGCTTCCTAGAGGAGGCAGCCACTAGACTAGCTCCTACAGGAAGAACCAGGACAAAAGGAGGGGTAGTCTTCCAACATGGGCCCGACACACGATGGACCCTGATGGAAAAGGCTTAGGGGAGGGGGGCGCAGGCTGGAACGTCGGCACAAGGCAGGGACGGGAAGGACTTGAAGCTGGAGGTGTGGGCATGGGGGAGCTCTCTCTGCCGTGTCCCTGCAGACGAGCTTCCCAGCCTTGTTCTACGGAGAGGAGGCCTGCCGGGGTGGGGGGGCAAGAGGCTGGGCGGGTGGTGCCCTAAAGATTCAGACTGCAGACCAAACGCAAGGGCCGTCTGCCGGCATCAGCAACCTCAGGACCTCGTAACTGAAGCCGTCCCAGACGCACGCGGTCTCCTATTAGGATCAGCAGATCTGGCCGCACCGAATTACTTTAATTAAACCCAACGTGGCTGCCAGGCATTTTGGATAAAAAAAAATAAAGCACACCCGACCAGATCCAGAAGGGCAGGACAAGGGGCAACTTGGATCTGCCTGTGAACCCTTCCTAGCACCTGGCTCTATACACAGCAGATGCTCAGTAAATGTGCGTGGCTATTATGCGCCTTTGGGGCCAATAACCCAGCTGAGATCCACACAGCAAACGGGAGGGGCACTCGACGCGCGATCCTTGGAAAACAGGATGTCACCGGTCACAGGAGAAGCCAGAGCGGCATTCTGGAATGAGGGGACGTCAGGCAAGGCCTCTGAGCTGGCCGGGTCCACGTGAGGGCACAGAGTGACAGCAGGAAGATGGAAGGGCCCTGCCCACTCGCCAGCAAAGTGTCCAGATCCCCCAGGAAACAGGCACGCGCTCCCCACCCCATCCATCCCATGGAAACAGACACACACCGTGAACACCCTGAGGAGCGGGCCAGGAGCATCCCTCAGAAACTCAGCGAGACAGCAGAGGGAAGGCTTCTGAAATACACGGTCCTGGAAGGGAGCCCTAAGTCCAGGTGTTAGTTTTACCACTTACTACCTGTGTGACGTGGGGTGAGTCGCTTGACCTCTCTGAGCTGTAGCTGTCTCATTCATGGAACAGGGGGGACATACGCCTCCCAGAATCATGACTCGCTCAGGGCAGGTGGGTAAGAAAAGGCAGCCGTGATGTTTCTCGTGATGCCACCACCACGGACCAGGAGGACCACGTCGTCTCCCCTCCTCCTTGGAGGGAAGCTCCCCAGACAGCAAAGAACAGCCACGCAGACCGCCATGTTCCTCTCCCCAGCCCTGCACGGCCATACATGGTCAAGAGAATTGTTTCTTTAATCGTGAATACACAGATGGGGCCATGCGCCTTAACCCAGCCATCCCTGTACCAGCAAGAGACACACAAAGATGGGTGTGACCAGCCCCACCCTCCGTAAGAGGACAGGCAGGGGAGACCAGCCCTCAGACACCAGGGGCCACACCTGCCCAGATAAGATCTCTAACGTTCATCCAGGGCAGCACTGAGGATGTTCTCTACCCTCCCCTCACCAAGTCCTCACAACCTGGCTATGAGGCAGCCACTAGTACTGTCATCATTACATCGATTGGGAAACTGAGGCCCCCAAAGCGGTCACTCCAGGGAGGTGACAGTGCCAGGTTTCAATAAGAGCACATGGCCATGAAGACACAGACACTCGCCCATCCGGGTCTCCCTACCGCCCAGCCCCCCGACACTCCTTCATCCGGGCTGGAGCAGGGGGGCTCAAGGAGGCTGTGCCGGGTCAGCGTTGCTGGCCCAAGGATGGCTCCAGGGACCCCAGGAAGCGCAGGGGCTGAGCCAGGCCACCTACCACAGCCAGCGCGCCCTCTCCCCCTTCCTGGCCAAACACAGCTGGGAGGGGCAGCTCCGGGACCCAGCCAACACCCCCAGCCACCCCCGGCCGTGCCCTGGGCCCCAGGCTCTCTACCAGTCAGCCAGGAGCCAGCAAGCCTGGGCAGCCCCTGCAGTTCACAGCCAGAGGCAGACACTCCCGCTCAAGCCCCAGCTCTGCCCTCAGCGGCTCCAACACCCTCAGTTCCCCCAGCTGCAAAATGGGGTAAGTATGTCCCAGCCCCCGGGGGGTGAGGGCAGAGGAGAGGACTGGATCTGAGGGCACCCGGCCCCGGGAACTCGGGCTACTTAGCACTGAGAGGGCCCAGAATAGTTCTGGCTTCAGTGGGACCTGGGGACCAGACGGCAGGCCAGGGCTCCCTCCCTGGGCCGTCCGCTTCCCGTGGAGTGGGAGGGTGGCCCCCTGCCCCCGTCCCCTCAAGACTCTTCTTGGTCAGCGGCCACCCCCATCCTCCCTGAAGGGGGGGAATGCCCCCATCTCCTTGGAAATGCGGTCACAGCCAAAGGGCAGAGGCCACGCAGTCCAGCCTGGAAAAGCAGTGACTCACTCCATCCTCCTCCCCCCAGCCCGTTTCAGCTGTCACTGGCTTGTGAAGGCCAGAGGGTCACAGAAGAAGGGGCTGTGGGGTGAGCAGGAAGGTTGCTCCTGGGCAGTGCTGGCCAGACCTGGGGTGGCCCCTGGCCCCGCTGGGCACCCGGGGCCCCTTCAGAGGTGCTGGGGTGGGGGTCGCGGAACCCGGAGTGGGGGCAGGACAGCAGCCTCCACTCTGCTTAAGTCTTCGCCAAGTTCCCTCTAAGGGGCCACGAAAGGCAGCGCCCGCCGGCCAAGCAGACATTTTCCTGCCCGCCCGGCAGCCACATGCGCGTCGGCCGCGACAAAGGCCACACTGGAGGGTACCGGGAAGCATGAGGGGCTCCTGTTCCCACCAAGTCGCGCGACCCTGGGGGACTGGCGCTGCTTGCCACCCCCCCAAAGGGTTCGAGAGGAGGCTGAGGCCGGCGAGGGGGCGGTGCCCCCAGCCCAGGGCTCCCGGCTCCCCGCCCCGCCGGGCCCCTCCCGCCGCGCCCCGAGCCCCTGTCTTCCAGGGCGTCCAGCCACCAGGCGCGAAGCCAGGGACCTTACACCTGACGAGGCCACCGGCTCGGCGGGATCCTGGGGTCGGCGGCGGGGCGCGGGGGGGGCACTCGCTGCTTCCCGGGGCCCAGGCCCGGGAGAGGGGGCGGCAGTGGTGAGCGCCCCGCCGGGGTTCGAGCGCCCCTCACCCCGGGAGGCGCAGGCCCAGCAGCGGGTGCTCCCAGGCAGGGCCCGGAGGCGGCGGAGGCGCAGCCCAGGCTTGGGGCACTTTGCCAACTTCGTGCCTCCCGGGGTCGCCCCTCGGAGGAGCCGGTTCCGAGGCCCGGGGCGCGCCGCCGCTCCGCTCACCGTCCCGCCGCCTGCCGACGTCCCCGAGCCCGCCGCTCTGACCGGGGTCCCGGGACCGCAAACCAGGGCCCCTCCCGGCGCGCCCGGACCCTCACCTGGGACATCTGCGGCCGGAAGTTGACGTCCTTGAGGTCGATGGAGCCGGGGGAGAGGTTGTGCAGCAGCTGGCACAGGAGGACGCCGTCGCGCAGCGCCTGGGCCAGGTCGAAGACCACGGCCGAGGGCCACACGACCCGGTGGTTGGGCGGCAGGACCTTGCAGTCGATGAGCCAGCGGCCGCACTGCCGCCACTGCTCCATGGCGCCCGCGGCGCCCACCCGCCCGCCGCTCGCTGGGCCGGCCGGCTCAGGGCAGCGCTCCGGCCGAAGTGCAGCGGCCGCGGGGCATCCCGCCCGCCCGCGCGGGGCTCGGCGGCCGGGGCGGGGCTTCGCGCGGGCGGCCCCGGGTCTCCGCTGCGCCGCCGCGCGTCCCTCCTCTTCCTCCTCCGGCTCCTAGCGCGCCGCAGCTCCCGCCCACGTGCGGCCGTGGGGCAGCCGCCGGGCAGCGCGTCGGACCCCCGCTTCACACACACAAGTCCCCCCGGGCCCCGGGCCGGCCTCCGCGCAGCCCGCCACCGCAGCGCCCCGCGATCCGCCCCGCCGGGCGCCGCATTCTGCGCTCGGGGCGCTCCGCGGCCGCCGAAGCTTCTGCCCCGCCCGAGACAAAGGCCCGGCGGGTCGCCTGTTCCGCGCGTCCGGGGCCTGGGCCGCCCTCGCCGCCGCCGCCGCTTTGTTCGCCCCGCCTTCGCGCTCAGCGCTCCACGCCCGGGGCTCCGACTCCGCGGCTCCGCAGCTCCAGGGCGCAGGGGGCGCGGGGGCGCGGCCACTGGCGGGGTGGGGGCGGGGCCGGCGCGCTCGCCTGGCACCGCCCCCGCCCGCCCCCCCCCCCCACTTCCTGCCCGGCTGCCGCTCACAAAAGTTGCAGAGGGCGGGGGTTGCGGCGCGGCCGGAGCCCGGGGTCCGCCGACTTCTGCGAGGGGCACCAAGATTTTGAGGAAGCTCTGCGCCCGGGGCGCGCGACCTCGCCTGTGGAGTGATGGTCGGTCGTTGTTTCTGCGTCTCTCCTGCGTCTCAGGAGGAGCTCAGGAGGTGGCCCCTGTCGCTCTGGGGGGCCTCTGCACGGTCCTTCGGGAAGGACAGACCCTGGAGGGGGCACCGACTGCGCGGAGTCGTCCCGCGCACTCTCGGTCCACCAATTGGTCCCCACGGGAGAACTCGAGGCGGGAGGCACACGGGCCGGGGACTCGCCCAGATCCCCTGCCTATCCTGTGCGCTGGCTAGGGACCCGCAGGAAGCCCCCCGACCTCGCACAAAGGCCGGGATTCGCCTGTTTTGAAACCCAGAGGCCTGCCACTCGCAGCTGCCCAGAGGGCAAATCCTGGCGTCCGAGATGGAAGATGTGACATAAGTTAAGTGGGAGAGAGGGAAAGAGATGCGGCCAGACCCGGCCCTGGGTAGCGCCCGCCTCCATGCTGGCTGCGGGGTCTACTGACCGAGCCTTGAACTCCTTCCTGGGCCACGCCCTCCCGGAGGGGGTGGGCAGTGTTCTCTGGCCTGTGACAGTGGGAGGGCTTCTAGAACATAAAGAGCCCATCTGGCGACGAAATGATATAGGTCCTGGCTCAGCTGTTAGGAGCCCTGGGCTCTCAGCCGGGTGACCCTAGGCAAGTCTGATCCCCCCTCTAAGACTGGCTCAGTCATGGGGTGAGCCTGGGGGTGACCAGTCTCTGAGCAGCCCCACACACTTGGGTTGAACCCTGGGGCAGCACCCGGCAGCCGCCCCTATGGCCCAGTTCCCCCCTTCCTTTGGCATTCCTGGGGCAGGAGCCAGAGCAGGGTGACACCCCTACCTCATTGCGAGCCCAGTGAGGGTCCCCTGAGCCCTCTGTTCTGGGCAGTGGCCTCTGCAGAGAGTCAGGCTGGCCCCTTCCCAAACTGAAGAGGAAGCATGGGGACCCAGGCAAGGTTCTGGCCCACAGAGAGGAGCGGAGGAGGGGCTGGGCTCCCAGGGCACACCCCAGACTCTGGCAGGAGTAAAATCAGGCCAAGTGACTGGTGAGCTCCAAGTTCCTGTCCAGGCATCCTTCCTCCGAGGAAACGGGTGCGGCACCTTCTTGAACACGGACAGGAAGGAGGACAGGAAGGAGCCTGCCTCAGACGGGTGAGATCGAGCCTGCCTTGCCCGAGACAAAAGGAGATGACCCCGCGGCAGCAGGCGGCTTCTTCTAGCATCACCCCGAGAAATCACAAAGTGGGGGACAGAGCCTGACTCCCGGCGCCTCCAGCCGCCCCCGGCCCCAGAGCCTGCACAGGCACCTTTCCCTGGCAGGACCCCCCACCCTCTCTGTAGAAGGGGGAGTGCCCCATCCCGTCAGAATCGCTGGTGAGGACTGAACAGAAGTAATCATCCAGGTGCTTTGCACAGTGCTTGGGGCAGAATGGGGCACACTATTCGTGTCCTCACTGTTCTTGGCCTTCTTGCCTGGACAGGGAACCAACCTAGAGGATGAGCCCGGGCTGGGACGCAGGCAGCCAGCCACCCTCCAGCCATCAGCACCGATGGTCGTCTGCTGCCCCCTGGTGGGTGCAGAGGGCACTGTCACCACCTGGCTGCCCCTTGGCAGGACGCTGCCCAGTGGCAGGAAGATCAGGTTTGGCCTGGAGAATAGCCAAGTCAGGAGACGCAGGCCTCACTGCTGTGTGTTAGCCATTCACAACACCTTCCTGATCCCCAGTGTCCTACTGGGGACACTGGCCCTCCTGTGTACCTCACAGGGTTTGGGGGAGGCTCCGCAGGGTGGCTGGGTGTGAGTGAATGAATGACTGCATGAATGCAACCTGACAGGAACCCTCCTCCAAACACTTGGCGTGGGTGTCGTGAGCAGGTGCGGAGTCCACGTCTTCTCAGACTCAGAGCCGTTTGCCGGGACCGCCCACGGCACACCTCCAGGGGGGCGCAATTCCCATCACATTCCATAGAGGTGGCACCCTGGAGAGGACCCCACAGGCCACAAGTGAACGGTACCCTCTGGGGGTTGCCTCTCAGCTTGGCCCACCTTTAGCACCATGAGTGAGAGAGGCCCACACGAAGCACTGGGACAGCCCACAGGAGAGGCGGGAAGCTGGGCGTCCCAGTTCAGTGGCGTAGATGAAACCCTTGGGGCAGGAAGTCACATACCCCAAAGTAAGGGAGGAGGGTCACGGGCCCCCACTTACCGGGCCCCTCAGCCTCCCCCTGTGCCACCCTTGCCCCCTTCAGTCTGTCCTCCGCAGCCAGCAAGGACCCAGTGAAACCTTGGTGAGGCCCTGTCACCCTCCTGCCCAGACAGGGGGCCCTTCGTGGCTTCCCCCTCACCAGAGATAAAATCAGATCTCATCACTTGCAGGTCCCATGTGGCGCATCCCCTCCCCGGATGACCTCATTCCCACAGCCCTCCGGCCACGCCCAGCGGTGCCCCCACCTCAGGGCCTTTTGCACCTGCCACCCCTCTGCGTGGGATTCTTGCCCAGATGGCCACATGGCTCACACCCTCACTTCCTCTGCTGACCCTCTCCCGCTATGAGACTCCTTCTTCTCTGCAGTTTCCGCCACGGTGTCTGTTGCTCGGTCGCATCCCTCTAGACTGTCAGCTCTGTGGCAGCAGGGGCCATCTCTGTCCTGTCCCCAGTTCACTCCCAGCGCTGCAAACTGGGCTCAGCCCCTGGTAGGTAGTCGAAAAAGAGTCGTTAAATGAAACACCAAATAAGGGCCTCCCTGGCAGGCCAGTGGTTAGGACTCCGAGCTCTCACTGTGGGGGACACGGGTTCAATCCCTGGTCCAGGAACTAAGATCCCGCGAGCCGCGTGGCGCCGCCGAAAGAAAAAAAAATTCAAATGCGAAATAAATAAACCAGCAGGTCAGCAAAGCACTGCAGCTACGACTTGAAAATCCAGTTCTCTGCGTTCGTAGAAGTCACAGAAATGGGTAGAACGGATACAAAGGTTTAAAACCTAGGCTGTGCAATCTGTTCATTTGTAGCATACCTCACCATTGTTATGTGAATCTATAACGTTACACCCTGTGAGATTTGCACTGACTTAGCATATTATTCTAACTATTCACGACTAATAGCCACTCCCATTTCTGAAGTGCTGCGTGGCTCGCCTCAGGGCTTTGTATGTGTCGCCTGGCCTCCGTTAAGCCTCATGGTGAGAGTAAGAGTCATTGCCCTGGGCGGTTAAACACAGAAGCCGAGCACGCTGGGAACTGCCCAGCGTCACCCAACGAGGTGCAAAGGAGCCTCCCCGGCACCTGCTCACGCACCCAAATCTCGCTGTTGCAAAGGGTTTCCATGCCTGGAACCGAGAGCTGTCGGTCGACATGCTGGTTTGGGTGAACAGGAGACCAAGGAGACGGGAAAATGCTGTGGTGTGTAGAACACGGAGATCCTGACTCAGCACGTAGGTCCTGAATTCAACAGCCTTCAAAGGCCAGCACGCACACACCCACTGCAGAAGTGGGTGCGAGCACGGCCAGCAGCAGCAGAGCTGGCCGGGAAGGGGCTGATGGGGACGCAGCCTGTGTCTGAGCTGAAGGAGGACAGGGTGTGGAAGCGCCGCCACCGGCCTCGAGCTCCTGGAAGCCTGGTGGCTGCAGGGTCCCGGCGGGCCCCAAAGGAGGCCTTTGGAGGGAGGTCGGCCGACAGGCTGCGGCCGCTTCGTGGGAGCCGCCCCACTTCTGCCTCGCAGGGAATGACCGTCCAGCTCCAGGCCATGCGCGTTGCTATTCTGTTGTTAGGGGACGGTCACGGAGCTTGAGGACCGGCCCGACGTTAGGCGTTGGGCAGAGGCAGGGTTGGAGCCCTCGTCTGAATCCTAAGTCTGTCTCCTGCGATGCCTCCTGCTGGGGACTTTGCTTCTTCTGGCTGGAGGCTTCTCTGCCCATCCAAACCTCCCAGACCGGTCCTTTCCTCACAGGCCTCCTCTGATGACCAGGTTTCCCCCAGAATGCCAAGGGCTGCTGCAGGCCTCCTCTGACGACCAGGTTTCCCCCAGAATGCCAAGGGCTGCTGCAGGCCTCCTCTGATGACCAGGTTTCCCCCAGAATGCCAAGGGCTGCTGCAGGCCTCCTCTGATGACCAGGTTTCCCCCAGAATGCCAAGGGCTGCTGCGAGGTCTCGCTGCTTCCTCGCAACAGGGCCCTGATTCCATAGCCAGGGACTCAGGGACGTGCTGGGAGCTTCTCCTGCAAAGGCCCTCCCCCGAAGCTGCAGTCCACCCATCCCTCCCACATCTCTCTGTCCATCCCTCCTTT